TAACTTCTTCCTCTTGGATTATGGGGCATCTTGCGGGGGCAGGGGAGAGAGTACAGGTTTTTTTACTTACATAGAACTTCTTTAGTACAAGTCTTCCAATCCATGCTATTGTCTTGTGTCCTAATTTGAAAGTTTACTCTGTTTTGTTTTTTAATATGCTTAAAGAAGAAAAATTGCTCATTTGTCATATCTTCATAACTGATCTGGAATCTCCTGTAATTGGATCTAGTTCTGAAAGGTGGATTTTTTAAAAAATCCACCAATTCTTCACCAGCCGCAACCTAACTTTTGCATCATTTATAGGAGTGGAACAGTTACTAAAATTGAAAGTTCATTTCTGTGCGACAGACTTAGTGTAGGATGTATCTATAGTGTTTTTCATGTCCTCTTTTCTGTATTTTTCAGTCTGTGCTGGTTTTGTAATTCAGTGTATCATACTGTATCATACATAACAAATTTTGGAAACTTTAGATGTAGCTATTTTAAAGTCTTGAAAAAACATTTTGTGTTGAGATTGGATATTGAGCACTAAATACTAAATTGGGACATAAAGAAAAGCATTACAGGGATTGTTATGTACTTTGGTAATGTGCTTATATATTAATGAGCCATTACAGCAATTTGATGTATTTGGTCATAGGAAAACTTGCATTTGAGCTTAAAGTAATTTTAGGCTGTTCCCCATGTATATTTTTGGTTGACTAGAACTAGTGATGTTTTAATGCTAAATAAAATATTATTCGAATCCCCTTTTTCTTTTGATATGGTAATGAAAGAGACTTCTTCCCCATTGCATTTACCACAAGCAGAAGAGATGAGTACTTCCACAAAAAAAAAAGACCAGAGACCCCTTGAGAACTTTTTTCCTTTTCATTTCCTGAACAGCCTCAGAAAGCTACAAAACCAAACTGTAGCGTTACCCAATTCTGGCTTTGAATATACTGGTTCACCATAAAAAATCAAGTAGGCCTGAAAAGCAATCTTGTCTCAAAGGGAGGGACCCTTCCTATTTCTCCACTCATCCTGTTCACCTCTGGCAGTGACTAAGTCTGACAGTGTGCCTGCTAGGAAGAGAATCTAAGAAGATACAATTTATTTAATTCTGTCATGCAAAATCTTCAGTCTTCTTTCAAAAGACAAAACCAATTCCATCTATTCAAAGAAGTGGAAAACATTTGTGGGTTTCACCTTAAAAGAAATTTTCCACCATTTTAGATTATCTATAAAAGCTGCCCCGTGCACAAGTACAGTAGAGAGTTGTCATTGTGCACCTAAGCCATGACTTCAGATCTATTTTAAGCATATAAAAAAAGAACCTACCATCTAATCCAAGCTGTGATCAAAAATGTTGAAAACAATGCATTTGGTTTTGTAGAATCACAGAATAATTTATGCTGGAGAGAGCCTCAGGAGTTTTAGGCCTGGCTCTTTCCCAGCTTCAAAGTTAGATCAGGTCATGACCTTGTCTAGTAAAGTTTTGAGTGCCTCCAGGGGTGGAAATCAAACAGCCTCCCTGGGCAACCTGTACCAGGGTTTGATCATCCTCAGATACTCCATTGCTGCAACTTTTAACCATCACCCTTCATCCTTTGCTGTGCATTTCCAAGGAGAGACTGGCTTGCTCTTCTCTGTAACCGTCAGTTAGGTGGTTGAAGAATGCAATTAGATCCCCTGTTAGCCTGCTTTTCTCCAGGTTGCCCAAGACTCATTTCTTCAACTTCCTCCTTTACTTCATCTGCTCCAGCTCCATGTCTGTCTTGATGGCCGAATTTGCTCCAGTTGCTACCATCTGTTTTATAGTTGTGGAGCCCAAAACAGGACACAGTCCTCTAGATGTGGCCTCATGAGTGTCAACCATAGGGACAAACACATGAAAAATTGTTAAGACGTTCTCTGTCCTACTCTGTTAATTGCCATAATAATCTGCTTTAAAATGTTATCTGCATTTAGTATTTAGTCCTTAAAACCTATCATTTTATTTGACTTAGGATAGTTACCAAGTTTGCTGCCTCTTCTAAAAAGCTGAAGTGATGCCAGAACCTTGTTGAAAGTGGGCTTGGATTTTGAACCAGCCCAGTTATATATCCATGTGTTTTCCTAAACCTGTGCTGCACCTGGAAAGAAGAGAACATTGCATTGTAATGTTTCAGTATGGCATTGCAATATTGTTTGCAAAGCAGCATTTTGTATCAATTCTAGAGAATATCCAAGTGTGTCGTGCTGCTTCCTTGTGTTATGACTTAGTCAGTGGAGCCTGAGCTATAGAACAGCTGAAGTTCCTTAACTGAACAGTGGAATAATAGCTGAAGAGCTGCTGTTACAGGCTGAGATATTGCCGTGTGAACAATTCATTCCATCATCCACTTTCTGACTCTGCCTTCTTGCCTTGCATCTCTTCATTTCTGGGATTCTGAATTAAACCATGGAACGGACAGATTACAGCTACCAGATGTTGGGGTTAGGTAGCTGTGAATAGGACCTACAGCCAGAAGTCAGTGTTGTTCTGGTGACTTATGATAGCAGACACAAGAAATCACCTGCTGTATGTAGTCAAATAGTAATTGTTTTCTTTCACAAAGTCCAGCTTTGTATTTGTTTGCAGTTTTGTATAATGGTGCATATATAAATTGCTATTCTTGTTGAAAACAGTTTAATTACTCTGTGAATTTGGTAGCAATTTATTAAGTTTTTCTCTTTCAGAAAACTTGGCTTCTACAGTCTTCAGAGATTATTTTTTTCTTAGCAAAATGAGAACCTGAAGGCCTTGGAACACTTCTTTGACTTGAAAGTGGTTAAGTTCTAGGATATAGATGCTCTAACTCAGTAGCAACATAATCAGAGAATTTCATTTCAAGAATTTCAGAATAGAACTTAGAAATGGTGCCTTAGAATGTTAATGTTTTGCAATAATTTAGAAATTTTTGTAATTGTTTTTACAATTAACAATCAAGAATATTAGAACTGATGAGCTAGGTGGAACACTTCTGCAATATTTTTGAGTTGATTTCTCATTCATTTGAAAATTCATATAATCCTTTTGGGTTTTTTCTGTTTGCATCTTCTGGTGTCCTCTGTGTATTAAAACTAGTTTAGAACTTTTCAAGTTGATGATTATACGAAGCAGAAGTACATGATTAATTGATTAATTACTTTCCAAAGATAACTTTTTTTGAACCATTTTAGATATGTAGGTATACTTTAAATGTGCTTTTATCTATCCGAAGATTTAAATCTTGTTTCAGAGAACAATGGTGACTGGGGAAAGGCTGAAGCTGTTTGGACTAAAATTCAAGAAGAAAATGTTGTTCCTCGTGAGAAAACACTAGCCTTACTGGCTGATATACTTGAGAAAAATGGTCAGGTTGTTCCATTTGAGGTACCTAAGGTAACTGGAGTTTAACTTTCCTAGCTAACACTTTTTTGAATATATTTCTTTCTATTAAAAAATGTTAACAGGTAGCATTACAGTAACTTAAATAAGTTTGTTTGTTTTAAAGGTTAGACATGAAGATACCAGAAGTTTAAGTGCTTCTAATGTGGAAGAAAGAAAAATAAGGATGCTTTGCAAGAAAAACAATGCAAAAGGTAAACTGAAAACCACTGGTTTTTTTCCCCACTTCAGCATTAATTTTAAGATTTCGATTAACTATGGAACAACAGATGCTTGCTGCTGCTTTTTGTTGGTTTGCTAGTATGTTAGGAAAGGTACGTGATAATGTTACCTGCCAATATTCTGCTTCGGAAGCTGATATGAGAAGGATATGCTAAAATATTTAAAATATCATTGGAAATGCTGACTTTCAAATGCATGTTTGAAAGCCAGTCTGTGGTGAAGTTGCCAATTTTAAAATTACCAAGGTATTGCTGATCTGTAGTTCACTTTATACTGTTGGGTTAACACCATGTTCTAGCCTTTCAGATGTACCCATTAAACACCAGAAACTAAATTTATGTACAGGATTGATGCTAAAAATAGCGTTTTTGTGGTTCCCAGAAAATCTAGCTGTTTGGTCACAAGTTTTATGGTGAGAGACATGAGAAGTGTAGTGAGAAGAAAGATTAATATCAAGTGAAATAGCTGGGACCTGTTTATGGGAAGGTAATTACCTATTAAAAGAAGTTGTTCAGAGATTTTGTATTTGCCCCTGCTGTTGAAGTCTTAATAATAAAATCAGATATGGTTCCAAAGTATACTTCAAGCTATAGATTTAGCAAAGAAATTAAATAGATGAGATTAAATGAGATGGGACTATGTTGTGGAGATAATCATTGCTGTCTTCCTATCTGGCTTTTATCTGTTAGTCTATTTTCTATTTGTTGATGTTGCAAGGCTATTTATTTCTATTTGAAGGGAGGATTCAATGTGTTGCGTAGTGCCTTTAGCTTCTTTACAACTAAGATTAAAGTTGTCCATGTTTCTCTGTAGAATTTGCATACTTTTCCTCCTGTTGTTCCTCCCCCAAAGAAATACACAGATTATAAACAAAAGATCAAAATCTGTGTCCCCACAGTTCACTGTTTCCAAACCCTTGTGCCTGTGGGTGCCACCCCACAATTAAAATCGCCTTTTGGGGAGATCACTTCAGATCAGTTCTGCTATGAAGAATGAATAGCTCTTCTGTGCAAACTTCCCTGTCTCAGATAAAAACAGAATTAACTTATGCGTGGGTATTTACCTTTTTATATAGAAAGGAGGAGTGTACTTCAGTGCAGTTCCTGTGGCTCAGTCTGTGTGTAAATCATCGGAAATCCATTCCTAGCCATCTCATCCCAAAGCAGGGTCACAAAGTCAGAACCAGCATTATTGAACCTTTCAAGGAGGGGAGGAAAGCAGTCTATTTCTAGCATTTGCCAAGGTGCAGAGTATTTGAATATTCTGGAAATCCTTATTTTCTTCACCTATACTGTGACAAATAACTATGTATCTCACTTGAAAGCAGATTAGAAAATAGAATTAGATAGGTATAAAAAAATTAATTTTGCTGAATGAGGAAAATCTATAAATTACAAGATACCTAGTTATTTTTTTCTGAGTGTTATCAGTATATTTTACAGGTTGAACACACAGATTTTTAAGCTTTGAGTTTTTAAAAGAAGAATCTGTCAGTCATTCACACAGTTAACTTCTGTTGTTAGTGAAATGACTCTACCAGAGTTATTCAGTCACAGGAGCACTGATTAGAAGTCTAAAGTGGAATCTGGATATTCTTTGTGTAGGGAGTGCAATCTCGTGTTATGTATATGAATTCAAGAATCGTGTATTATGACAGACATAAAGTTAATGTTTTCAGGAAATTCTTCATGCTGGTAAACTTTGGAAATCGAAAGAAAATGAGAAACGCAGAAATATTTTCACTGAAAACCACGCAAAATTAATGGAATGCATTTTATAACATTATTCCTAGAAAAGTGTCCTGTGTGCCTTTGATATCGTAAATGATCAAGTGGAGAGCAGAAGGAAACTAATTATGCCTTAGACCTTGCAGGGAGACTAGTTTAAAACAAAAATATAAAATTTAACTGCTAAAAGTCTATGATGACATTTGATATTGAATTTATCAGTAAATTATTCCTGCATATTCTTTTATTTAGAGGTGCAGTATTTGAGAGGAGGTGGTCTAGAGCTATTGGGAGTTAAGGGGAAAAAAGACAAACGTTAGAAAACAGTTCCTCTCTTGTTGGGAAACAGTTCTCTTTGTCTTAAACTATAAAAAATAAGTTGTCACTTTTATATAATAGTATAATGTAATTCTGATGTGAATGTAATAAGGCAGAATATAACTTTTTATCAACATCAGCTTTTTGATAGGAAAAAGATTAAATTAATCTAGTTATGTAACTAATTTCATGAATTTATCAGCTCTGACATGGAGATGTTTTGAAAATCTGTTCTTTGAAGTGCTTGATTTATGCAAAGTCATATTTTCTTTTTTATCTGGATTCCTCAGTGTGAGAACTTGACTCTAGGGGATCATGTTACACACATCCCAAACAGTTGCAATTGCTGAAAGAAATTTGACTGTCTTGAGAACTGAGACTTTCTTGGCAAGTTGTCACTTTTCTAACAAATTTTTCTACTTGAAATAGCTAGTATAACACAATATGATTTCGAAACCAAGAACTTTCTCTTTTGAATAGTAATATACTTTAGTAATTTTAGATGCCATCTGAAGAAGTAATAAGCTGATAATACCTGATCAGGCATATGTCTCAATTCAAGGCTCATCTAGGTATACTTCAAACATGCTACTTGCACTGATGCAAAATAAAGTTAACTAAATAATCTGAATAGGATAATCATTCTGAGGTCGGGACTGACATACGCAACAAAACATCCTAGAACAGGAAAACAAAACTGATAACAAAGATTTTTAGTTCTTCATTGAACTAGTCATTACAAAAAAGATTCAAATATATTTCCTTATAGAAATAGATCTTATATTTTGTGGACTGTGATACTTGATGGTAACATATGCTTGATGTCATGTCCACTGGTGGCAAGGTCCATTTCTGTACCCAATCAATGGAAAGCAATATTCAAACAAGGGTGAAATCCTAGTTCAGTCTGAAGACAGCAAAGCTTTTGTAGGAGTCTCCAAATATAAGGAGGTTTTGGCTTTAAAAAATGTAATTTAAACAGGCTTTCATGAGCAGAAAGAACAAACCTATCACCAGTCAGCTACATTTTTGTAATGAAATAATTAGTTACACTTGTAATAGATTATACCAGCGAAAGGGGTTTTGTTATTGTTGAATGTGCTAGTTTACTGGTATCTCAGATTTCAGAAAAGTGGAAGAAAAAATGTCTTTCCCACTGAATTTAAGTGTGAACACTCTATGAATGCTGGTGTTCAGCATCTGAGCAGGCAAGAGAGTTCAGCACATTGCAACAGGCCAAGCTTTAACTTCAGACCTATAAGTAAACGTGGTAGAGAATTTCAAGACCTTTCCTGTGTTGTCCTGTGGTTGTTTTATTAGTCTTTTGATTGACAATGCAATCACTATTGTAATGTCAGACATCAGTCATATTCTCTCTCGTGTGTCTCTGTCTCTCTCATATACGTGAAACTCGCATACACAGAAGTGGATTTAATTTTTACTGTGATATTCTTATCCTTAACCTCTGTTCATATGTATATCTAATGTAGCTCCAAGCATCCAAAGTAGATTATGGATGGCAATGTTAATTCTAATTAACTCAGTGTAAGAGTTTGCGTGTTGTAAATAATAAATTTTATGCATAGTAATTTTTGTGCCTACATTTCAGGCAGTTTTTATGTATATTCTTTGGTTGAAGACGTTTAAGATTCAAACCAAAAGGCACACCAACAGTTTTGGTTTGGGGAATGACAGCTTAAAATTCTGCAGCACACTGTAGTAAGTGCTATTAGTGTGATGCTTCTTGTGACAGTAAGATTCAAATGAGTTGTGTTCATCTTTACTTTCAAAGTATAAGAAAAAAAACTTAACACTTAGCTGTGAAATTTGTAGTGATAGTCCAAGTATTTCTGAAAAGTTTTCAAGGTTATTGTGGCTATGATTTCAATTAGCAAAGGGATTTATTTTTTGAGTTTCATTAAATGGAACATGCAATCACAGTTCAGATGTAAAAGATCATTTGTGGTTCTTAACACAGCTTTCTAGCATATGTTACAGCCTGGATAGCAGTTTTAGCTGCATGTTTATAGCTGCATAATCTTGTTTCAGGAAAATAAATGACTGAAAAGTGTGCTTATCGTTTTTCCCCCTGTTTTGGTAACATCTTTTCATACACTGACAGTTATTGTGAATGCATGAAATAAAACTGTTAATCAGTCAAACAAATGCAGCGTAGTTTACTTGTTAAATTTCTGTATATTTGTAAATTGTATGTTTTGTATAAATCTTGTCGTAGCCAAATAATTTGATCTCCCCATATTGGAGTCACCTCCTATATTATTTGTTAAACACTGTTGTGTCATGCACCAGACACTGTAGCTATATACCCCAGAATTAGGTGTTGCTTTAAAAATTCTGAGTCTTCCCCTTTTAGCCAGCTGTGTTGGTATTTAAGCAACAGCCACATATAGAAAAACAGCAGTAGCAAACTTCTTTGTTCTGTGGAGGTATGTGTCAGTTGATTGTTGTATACAAGCAGTTTTGTACAAGTTGTGACCAACAGTTTTGGGCTCAAAGATGTAAACAGAGGATAAGTACATTTAAGATGGACCTTTTAAATGAATAGGTGATTTCTTTCTATGATCAACATCATCGCAATATGACATTTCATTTTGGCTTTTTTTTTTCTTTCTTAGAAGCCTACAATATTTTCCTGAAAATGCAAGGGAAGAATGAGTTTCATTATCGTTCTTATGGCACCCTTATAAAAGCATTGTTAACACAGAATTGTCTTGAAGAAGCCATGGAAGTGAAACACATGTAAGGCTTTTCTGTATTTGGGAGATTTTAGTTGTTGGGGGTGGGAGGGGGGTGGTTTAAATTTCTGGATCATTTTCAGGTAAGTCCTTATCTTTCAGTGGAAAAACAGGTCATGACTGGTAATTAAGAGTTATGGTAAGAAATACACCAGTGTTTCAGAGGGCGATATGCCATATATTAAAAAGAGTCACTAGAGTGACAGTATGTATTGCTAATAACTCGTTTCAACTAATAGTATCAACAAATGTACTTGGCATCAGAACTGAAAGTCTACCCTTCTGGCAGTCTGCCTTTTCCTCTTTAGAGCAATATCCAAACAGACAAGATTCCTTCACTGAAATGCCTGTGAGTCTTTCCCTCAGTGCCCACCCCTGCTGCTGCCCCATCCTACCCACGCTCCTCGCAGCTAGCTGCCAGCCAAATGCAAAATGGTACATTTGACTGTGATGCCAGTGGCTAGGAGATGACCATAAACCTTAGATCCAACTTTTACACCTGCTGTCATGTGTTATTAGAATCACACGAATCAAATTAATTTTTAGTGAGTTGTATGGTACAGAACTTGCTTTAATTATTGCCTGTAATGTGTGTTCTGGTCAGATTATAGGCTTCAAAGTAAAAGTGTTACTGCTCATCAATGTAGAGGTAAGAAGAACAAAAATGTAAGTTTAAGTAATTTAAGTCTTTCAGTTTCTTCAGCTAAAACAAGAACAGTGGTTGTCATCAAGTGTGTCCTCTGACTGAATACAGTGAATTTGAAAGTGCCTGTAGGTAACTTACATGATGCATAGGGCACTATAAAAATCTAACAATTTTTAGAGTTGACTTAGTTTTTGAAGTCCGGGAATAGTATAGTGTATGGTGATGTTTATTATTTTCATGTTTTCTTTCAAAGTGTTTAGACTGAGTAAATGTCTTTCTTTGAAAAAGTATTTGAGTTCTGCATTCAGAAGAACAAATAATGTTTTTTCAAATAGGTCTCAGTAACTGGGCTTTATGATAAGGAACGTTTGTGCTTGATGGATGTATGGCTTATTATCAAGGAAAAACTAAAACAGTTTATCAAATTAAGCTCTCTGAAATGGAAGTAACTGATAAATCTTTGGAAATAGAAGAATGGAAAGGACATGTTTCAGAAGTACAAAGAATGTTGATAAAATTTAGGTAGTTAAACATTCACAGAAAATATTCATGTGTCAAAAGATGTATTGAAAGATTCTTCAGGGAAGAAGTTTGAAACTTTCTACTGAAGATTTGTAGATGCATTGACTGCTTCCCTGCTCTGCAGCTGAAACACACTTGTAAGGAAGATGCACAAAGTATTGCATGTTATTAGCAGTAATTTGCGGATTGGAAGAGCAGAAAGAAGGTGGTGGCTTTTCCCTAGTATTTCAATGATTCAGAATTCCCACTTTAGATAAGTGTTTTAGTATGTAAATTCAAAAAAAGAACAAAAAATTTTAAAGACCAAAAGAGTTGGAGATGTGTTCTAAAGGACTAAGCCTCTGAACCTTGAGATATTTAGGAAAAAGGAGAATAGGATTTAATAAGAGGTTCTATTCTTGGTCACTGGTCAAAGTCAACCATCATAATAACCCCTGTCCTTTTCAGACTCTCATGCTCCATCTTGTAGCAAGACATTCTAAGAAGCCTGTAACTAGCCTGTTCTAAGCAGCTCACTGTTGTATCAAGACAGAAAATGCTTCATATTGGCAGTGTTCATGGTGTTTATCTGTGTATCTTTTTTCCAGTAACTAAACCATGCTTACATTAAGTATTTTCAGAAGTCTGTAAGTTTTAAATTATTCACTGAAATAGACAAAGTGATTGTGTGTGTACACATGGTTGAGGAATAGCAGATCCGTGTGTTTCGCACACATTTCTGCATGCTTGACAATTTTTCCAACCTCATATTACAAAGAGATTACTCCTGCAAAGCCTAAATGTGTGCAGTGGCCTGAAACTTGTGCAACTCCTAATATTTTAGTAAAATACAGGAAAGCTACTTTCATTTATAAAAGCTAACATCTTTTTCTTTTTACTCTGCTGGAAGCCAAGTTTGAAATTTAAATAATATTTAGAGAGCCTTAGTATGAGTATTAGCATAGGCAACAAAATAAGTAATTTTTTTATTTAAAAAGGCCAGATAATTTTAAAACTTCCCTCCTGTTACCGGAACTGAGAAACTTCCATGAGAAAGTGATGTGTAGAAGGAAATTGCACTCCTACTCTGCGTTTGAAAGAAAACAAACCAACCAAACAACCCAGAAGGTTACTGATCTGTTGGTCAACCCAAGTCTAGTTGCTTTGGCATTCTAGCACTGTTTTGAGGAATATTTACTGCATTTAGTCCAAGAAGTTTTAAATAGAAATTTAGGAGTATTAGAATGATGGATTAGTTCTGTAATAGTAGCTAACATCTATTTAATCACACGAAAGATTGGAAGATTGGAGAAAGTAAATCCTTTGTTACATGTAATTTACAGTCTCATGCATGAATTGTTGACTTAAGGGCTTTGACAGATGGGACAAAGGGAAAAAAAAAAGGCGGAACTGAACAGTGGGTGCTTAGGCAGGGATTAAGAGGATTGGTTGGGAGAGTAAGAAAATCCCGAGTCCAGTGACTGCATTTGTGAGCCTGGGAGGCTGAAAGTGACTGAGAGGATAGTCATACTGTGTGCGATGTGAAGGATTTTCTTGGGATTGATGAGAATAATTTAGCAATGACCCTGCTTACCTCCCAATCCGCTCAGCCTCTAAGTTCAAGTAGGTAGGCTGCTCAGTTGTTTGCCACAAGATGATCAGTGAGGTTTATCTTGATTGCTGGTATGGTAAATGGCAATGCCCCCCTTTTCTGTGTAGAGATTTTGTAATCTAGAAATGAACATTTGTAAAGTTATCCTTATATATTAAAAATGTGGCTATATGTCATTTAGGAATGAGAACATTTTATAGTATGAGATCAATGTGATTGCTGGTCAGTCTCTCTTGACTAATTTCCAGAGTGTTAGAAAAGCTTTAGCAGTGTTATTAAAGTAAAGATTCTCTTTGCCATACATATGTGAAGTTTTGTGTTACAGGAGATAAAGAATTGATAAGTGAAATACAATTTTAACATGGCTAAGGCAGCAAATGTAGTATGTTCACTTTAAAAACCTGTATACATCTAGATGACAGAAATTTGAAAATTAATCAACCAAATGATATGGTGTTAGTTCATAATATGCTTTAGTTTATGTTTAAAATATACAGTGCTGAAAATAAATGTTTCATTTTTATTGCTGAAAGAATAGTTTTACATTTTATAATTATGGTGACTATTGAAAAAAGAAGAAAAAGTATCCAGCTTAGGATACAACAGAACAATGCAGGGCATGCAGTTATTTTAGTCATCTAATATGTCAGCATTCAAGAATCTGAACCGATTGTTTAAAAAAAATCTTGTACTTTGTTTCTTTTGTTGCTCACTTCCAACTTTGTCATCTGTCAGAATGCAAAAAAAAATTATCCTTCTATAACCATTGACAGGATAACACAAAAGCTGTCTCCAGGTCGATATTTTGCAGCAATATTTTTAACATACGAACAGTAGTTTTTATAATTTCACCTTGGTGCTCAACCATTTATTATCGTATCAGAAGCATGTCAGTAATTCCTTTCTAAATGTCTGCTTCTTTTAGTGCTGAGACCCACATCAAGGGCTTCACACTGAACAGTGCTGCCAGCAGCCTCCTCATCATATCGCAAGTTAGGCGGGATTATTTGAAAGGTATGTCACAATGCTTGACCTTTACGTCACATTAATGCCTCTGCAGATTTTTCTTGTAACGCCCTTCGAATACTTGGATAAAGGAGTCCATTTAGCAAATTACCTGCTTATCAAGAGCCTTTTGTGGTAGCTGAGAGACGTAAATTACTGTACATGCATTTATAATACAGCTTGAATATGAATGTACTTGTCATTTGACCACTTAGTCCAGTTTCCATTCCATTTAACACAAGATGGGTTTTCTTAAGATGAATCACAGCTCTTCAGACATGCAAAATTTGTGCTCCAGAACGAGAGAAAGTACAGGCTTTCAAGTGCGTTAAAATTCACAGCACAAGTCATTTTGCTTTGGAAATTAACATACTTTAGAGCATCTGAAACAATTCCCAGCAGTTGTTTCTTGCATATTGTGTTGGTTGTGTGAGATACCAGATGAGTTAAATTGACTGTTAAATGTGCATGATTGTGCACAAAATGATTATAATATTGATTTAAAAACTTAATCAAATACTTTTTAATAGTTCTCAATACCAACAGTAACAAAATATTCAGTGTGGTTTTCTTTTTAAGGTAACAATGATGATAGAAAAGAAAATGGTGGCTGAAGAGTATGTAAGGGTACCCAACAAGATGGTGGATAAAGTTTATAATTGTGTTATTTTAGTTCTAGGCATTGGTTGTTTTGCAGCCTAGAGTTCAGCTCCACAGCATTACATTTAGTTGTTCTGTAGAACTCCTGTGAGAGGGGGAAGCTGCAAGCACATAGTTTTACATGCAGTGCTGTGTCTTTTATCGCTGTGCAAGCATAAGTGCAGGGTTGATATGTATTTTCATCAGTACCTTTAAGTGTTAAAGCAGCTACTTAAGAAAAAAATGTATTACATTGAGTGGGGTCTTACTTTCATACCAGAAAGCATACCAGAAAATCCATTTTTGATTCTTCCATAAGTTAATTTTATTTCATTCCATTATGCATAGATGTAGTAGCCCATACCCGTGTAACGTCAGCTACATTAAAATACTCGAAGATGAGCATTTAGATGCACCTCTCACTTGTACTCTTTCCTGCAGCTGATAAACTTGTCTTCTTTCAAATTCCTTCCCCATTCAGTCTCCAGTCTGACATCATTACCAGGTGTCATCAACTGAAGTATTTGTGGTGAATGCAGTTGCTTCTCTTGCTCTTGGCAAGTCTTAAGTTTTTGCAGCTTTCAAGTTTTTCACGTGACTTTCCTGTCTGATTGTATTCTAATAAATTTTCTGCTTTTTCTTGTCCGGTGTGCCACAAAGCTTTGCCAGTTCTTCCTAAATATTGCACACCAAAAATCTTCCCTTCTTCAGAACATCACTGATGTTTCTGTATTCTGCCAATCTCTTGCGCTAACTACATGATTACTTTTTAGGTAGCATACTAAATTCTCTGCCACGTCAACCCTCTCCCTTGCTGTACTCTAAAAATGTTTCTTTTTGCACAATACAAAGTTTGTCAAGAATTCTGTGAAATTTGCAAAATTATATTTTCCTTTATCTTGGGCATTGAACAAGCTTTACTTTGGTAATTTAATTGAATAGTCAGACTTGATCCTTGTTTCTATTTTAATTTGAAAGATACTGCTCTTTTTGTAAATGAAGCCTTGAAAATACAAGCTACTAAATATTTAAACCATACTGGTCATTTCCTGAGGCTCATAGATTACCCCAAAATTTTTTGGGCACAGTCTTTTTGTTATCTTTTGGTGGTGAGCTCCATTTGACCTACATCCTCTGAAGGCTTTCACTTGTGTAAAACTTGCTTTATCACTTCCTCATATAGTTCACTATCATTCTTTGCTCTGTAATGTGGTATAGTTAAAAGTTTTTTATGTAGGTCCCTAAGTATACTCATAAGAGCTCTAATATCTTCTAGCAAGAACTTGGTAGAACCCAGGTTACTTTAAGAGTCAGAACTTGAGTTTCACAGTATGGAATTTGCAGAGTTTATAGGAAAGCCTTTTAAAAGATAAATGGTCAGTTTTCACAAGCGCATAGTTACCTGCTTTTAAGTACTGAAAGATCAAGGGATTAAATTATGAATTCAGATTAGTAGTAATGAGTGCTTTTGCATAAGGAAAAAAAAGATATCAGCAGAATTATCTACTATGCTACTAGCACATAATTTCTTGCAGTAGTGCTGCACACATGCAACTTTCAAATCTTTCTCTGTCCTTGTTCTTGAGAAGGCTGGTCATGCTCCATGCTAAAGGGAGGTCCACGCTTATAGTCAGGAGAGAATTTGAGCTTACCATGTGCTTTAAGTTTGCTTTTTAAATTTTGGGAATTTTGCCCCTGATGTATTGTTCCTTTTTTTCCCTAAAAAGAAAGGAAAAAAAAAAAGGGGGGGGGGGGGGGGGGGGAGGGGGTGGGACGCAGAAAGAAAATTTGCTGTGAAGGAAGGTTAGGCATACAGGATGTTTTTTCGTCCTTTCTTGTAAAAGGTAATATTTGGTTTCTGCAGTACCTGCATATTGAATTGGAATGTTAATGCTGTGGAATTCAAGTGGGTGTATATTATGTTAGAAGTGTTATCCCTTGGTATTATAATTATTATCTGTGATTAATCCTGCCTGTACTGGTAAGGAGTAAGAGATTTTTACCAGAGGGGCATGTCTTTCTGTGTGTGTTTGCTCATGGATAATGTAAATTGACAAGAATTTTGGTTAGAGAAATGAGGGTGACTGCATCTGCAGTGGGTTTGGGGAATTTGTGGCGGACGGACAGGAGATTGATTTTGTGTGGTTTTAACACAGCTAATTGATATAATTTTAGGAGTTCTTGAGGTAACTGTCCAGTTTTGAGTTTATTTTTGTTGTTGTATGGAGACTTGTGTCCCATGCTTTTATTTAAAAATTAAATGTTGGTAAACAAAGTTTTGGTGCACACTTAAAAAGACAAATCTGAATACTAGACTTCAGCGATTTCGGTAATGAATTACATTTTTAAACTATGTTTATTCTTAAGTATGCAACATTTTTATTTTTAGTAAGGCAAATTGATTATAGTTTGGAGGAAAAACAAGCTGAAAAGGTCATGACTTTAAGGTCATAAGGGAGGACATTTATGACGCAGCTGCTTTCCTTGAGCTGAATACTAAAATAAAACAATTAAATGTTAAAAGTTATCTTAATACTTTTTATTGAGCAAATATGAAAGCATTTTAACCTGAATTACTGTTGAAAGTTTTCGTTTGTGTGTGTATATATATTCAAGTTATAATTCACTACAGCAATTTTGGGGCTTAAGTTCAGCAAGACAATTATTTTCTGTACATGTTTTTAAAAGGGTAGGGTTAATGATACCAGCAGCATGGTTGCCTTCTGAACTAAAATCTGATTTCCTTTTCCCTTATTTGTTTACCATTGTTAGATGCTGTGGCTGTCTTAAAAGGAATGCTTGACAGCGGCTTGTTGCCTACTAGACCAGCAGTTATTGCGCTCACTCAGACTCTGGCAGAAAAAGGAGATTTAAAGAACCTGCAAGCACTTAAAAACATGCTGGAAGACATCACAAAATCAATTGGTGTGTCTGCCTCACTAATCGCTAATGCTATTGCATTGGCTCATACTAAGAAGTAAGTATTTCTAGGACTGGTATATGTAATTCTTTTATGCAGAGTGGTGGGAAATCACTTGTGTTATCCATTTCATTCTGTTTCCATTCTTAGTGTCCTAGATGTTAAAATTCTGGTCAAGTCAGGCAGTGTGCTGTTCAGTTCTGTGCTGGTATAGTTTCCCGAACACATTTGGAGTTGAAAATCATTTAATGAAATACAGGAATAGCTATGAAGCATTTGGGAGAGCATAAGGTCTTCTCTGGTGGTGTAATTTAGCTTTGATACCTTTTGTTCTAACCTATTACACCTCATGTAAAGTGTTCTCCTTGGTGTTAGATCAAAAGCCCTATGAAATCTGAATGTAAAATTGAATTACTTCATTAGTATAAATGTAAAAAATCTTGGAACTTAGCACCCACAGATTATGCATGTAATACTTGTTTGGTAACAAAAATCTGCTACCTGTTCCAGTAGTTGAAATGACAAAATATTGTTGTGTTTACCCTCAAAATGTGAAAGCCAGACATATATCTGTGGAGTTGTTTTTTTGTTTTTTTTTTTGTCAGAATAAAAAAATTGGCTGCTATGCTGTTTTAAGCCACAGTTTCGATCATGATAATTATCCCCACACTTTGAGTATCCTTTGATTCAACTGTTTAATTCATTATCATGTTTTGCCTAGCATTTTTGTTTTAGTTGATACGTTGGTACTGTGCTAGTTTACCCTTTGTATAAAACTGCATGGGGGAAGCACTTCTGAGAGAAAGGGCATACTATGAACTTCTCAAATAGGCTTTGTAGGAACAAGTCTTCAGGAATCCTACATATTCTATTTTATTTCAAACCAGTTTCATCAGGTAGAGCTCCTGTGCCTAATTTGGCAGGAAAGCTGTAGACCTGTGTAGTACATAACAGATACCTGATCGCCTCAGGCATGCCAGACCAGAGAGAATAGTCACTGAAGTGTTTGGAACAGCAAGAGGACTTGAATTGAAGGAGGACCATGCAGGCCAGTTCCACTAGTGAGCTCACTATATTTTCAGCCACTGAAAAACAATCTGTCTGTAAAGGACTGATCCTGTAAATATTTAGATCTGAGTGGTCCTTGGCACACAGTTCTATTGCATTGACTTTTGCCTGAATTAAACGCTTCAAATAGGAGAGATTCTTCAGGATTTCTCTCATAAGCTGCATATTTTCTTATATTTCCATGTCATAAAAGTGTTGCAAAGTCATGCCATGTTCTTAAGATGTAGATTGGTTGCAAGAATGAATAAATAAATAAATAAATTGCTGTATGCAGGCACAAGTTATTTAAGCAGTATCAACTTTTCTTTTCCCATACCGAAACTAGCTTGGATGTATGAAAAGACTTAGCAGCAGCATAAATAATATGTACCTTATATATTCTTAAATATCTTGCAAGCTGCACCTTGAGAACTATGAAAAACATATTTTTACAGATATTTTTAATACCTGTTCTTTTATTGGTAGATTCATATTTCTGATACAGTTTTCAAAGCATTTTTCGTAGCTTTCAAATGTGCTGCGTTTCTGCTTCACCTAAAAGCATTCATCGTGCTCTGATTTCTTTTTCAATTAAATTAGTTTTTAGAGTGGACTGATAAGAGATGTTGTCATTTGAACTTTTTAGAATGCTAGAAGTGGAGTCTACACTTTGGTGAATACTTCCTGCATTATTTTATTAGCATTTGGTATACTTAGGCCATAAGATTAAAAGTGTTTAGACAGAGGTGCTGACCAAATGGCGTTTACTGTTGTCTTTTGCATCCAAAAAGGTAGGCATGAGAAAAATTGGGTAAATAATTAATTGAATAGCATTAAAAAAGAATACTTGAGTTGCATGCATTAATTATTCAGATACCTTCCGTTAATGTTTTGATTTTGCCTTCTAGATTTGCAGAACACATTTTCCTAAAGCGGCTAGCTGAACTCTTCTTTCTTAATGAGGAAGAAAGTGTGTAAAATTACTTAGGCTTTGTACAGGTCAAAGGTTATTAAAAAAATTTTATTTATGGGTTAACTTATTAATTCAGTCATAAATGGTTTCACTTTTACAATATCTGAATGAAGTCATAGGTACTCAACCATTCCTGGGAAATAAAACCTTAATGTGGAAAACAAAAACTTTACTATAATTGCTTCCTTAGGTTTAGAAATCTTGATTTCAGAAACTAAGCCAATTCAATCTATTTTCCTAGTAGTGACCTTGATGCTGCCGTGGAATACCTTGAGCCTCTGCTTATCTCTGGTGCACAGAATCCTGATCAAGCTGTCAGAAATATTTCCTATTTGTTAAGAAAGGTGTCTGAGGAAGGATTAGAACCAGCTTTGGAAAAATGTAAGTTAATTGCAATGATATTTAAATATTCTGACTAGACAGAGGTGTTATGAAAGAGCTATTACATGTAAAACCTGCTCAGTCAGCATAAATCATGCCTGTGAAGTTTGCAGAAATGGCTTTTCAATCAAAGATTTTCCTTATGTACCCATCATTTTGCAGTTGGTGTGATGGCAGAACAACTGGCCAGTCAGTTTGGAATTTACAGACCTGTCACAGATCTTTTCCTTCAATATGTCAGTGCAGACAGAGTGGATGATGCCAGATCGCTGATAGAGGTAATGACATAACGAGAGAGGTACAGAAATGCTTAGAGTTCTTCAAAGGTTAACTGAGAAATTGTCAAAAAGAGGTGTTTTATAGCATAGGCTGGTACTAGTATGCTTTTGAATTACAGTGTGAGTAGTAGTAGCACAGTTTAGACTATTCCAAACTATGAGCTAGTACTCTAGTACTAATAGTAGTAGTGAGTGCCAGAGTCAGAAGGTTTTTTGTCTTCTAACAGCCTGAAGGAAGTAAGGGAAGACTTGTATATTGCTTGGAATTCCATCCAAAACAAATATTCTTTTATAAGTTTTCTGCTAGACAGCAGTTGCGTCTTGCAAACCATTTCCTTGCAACTTCTCAAGTAATATCTTTAGTGCTGTAAACATAACATCTTACAGCTGTACAGTTTGCAAACCAGAAGCAGGCAACGTTTGCTTTTCATGAACCTTATTTCACTTGGTTGCTATATTGTATACACTGTATTCAAGGTTTATTAAGAGCTGAATTTGCTTTCTATTCACTTGAGTGTAACAGATGCATTAAAAGACAAAGGCTGGTCTCTGGGCCACAGTCTCAACTGAGTTAGCGATCTGCAGGGAATGAGACAACTGCATTCATGCCATTTGTACAGAGCTAAAGACAAAGCCGAGCCAGAGGTGGGATGAATGGTGATGGGGGCTGCCACTGGCAGCGTGCATGCACAGGCTCCATCAGGGAGGCTCATCCCAGCAGGTGGCAGTCCAGCAGTCGTGCTCATTCTGCAGATTGTTCTGTGTGCATAGGCTCCTGCCTCAAATTGAGGCCTCTTACCATCTCCTGGTAGTGCATACTACGCATTTACCTGTTCCCAAGTATTTTAAGCTGTTAAAGAAAAAGGTCTGCTTCATCCATCAGATGTTTTACGATATTCCAAGACTGTTTTTTGAGAAGAATGCATACCAACAAATGTGTTTGTTGCTTCTGCTACAGTGTGAAGTGTATTATTTGTATATTACTTTGTTTATTGCTTTGCCTAACAGGTCATCTGAGTGTTAAATTAAAAGGAGACTACAATTTTGATATAAAACACTCTTGCTATATAGCATGAAACATCAAAATGCAAAAAAATCTCAAGTTATTTTACTCTTCCTGATTTTTTTGATTGCTCTTTGATTGAAATGAATGAAATGGAATGACTGAATGAAAATCGGTTACGATTTCTGGCTTTTGTGAAGATAGGGAGTTTTGCATTTTTAAGTAAAATCTACATGTTCTTAAAATTTTCCAAAACATGGAATAATTTCTATTCATACATTCCTAAAATTTCTTATTACAACAGCATCCAACTGTTGGAATTAAATTCGTGGCTCTATAGCATACTTGAAATAACATTGTATATGCTATATCTTGGGGGAGAATTTTAAAATATTTCGTGTTAAGTGGACATTCACAGATAAGCTTGAGTTGGAAATTCTGCGTATATCAGAAAATTTGGTTTTTTATGGTGCAGGAAAAACTTTCAGTTGTGTTAAACATTCTTGACTGCTATTGTGGATCAAGTATTCTACTAATAGGTAACTAGAAGATAGTAATAATCACTGTCCATTGCTTGTTATTTTGAAAAGTAAACCACAATCGAAATGAATTATTTTACTTGTAATAATCTGAAATATTAGTATACACATGGAGAATACTTCCTTTCAAAAATGCATCTAAGAGTCTATTGAAAAGTTCAAGAAACAGCAACAGTGTCTTTTGTACTGTTTGGAGGGAGAATGCTTTTACTGACGAAAGTCAAAAGTGGTTTGATATTTCAGCATGAAAGGGGATTGTGGAAAACATTTCTCCAACTAGGCTGTCTCTTTCCCCTCAGAGCATCCTTATTTGTTATACTGACAGTAGATGAGAATGGCTAGAATCAGTAAATAAAATGTTGCAAGTTTCTCCCATGAATATTTCGCCTCTGTTTATCACCATAAAGCAATTTTTTGTCAGAACACTACAGCTACAGTTTTGTCTCAGTTTGCCTGATGGAGTGAGGCTTCACACCCTTTCACCTGGACCTTAAAGAGCTTGTCAAACCGTATTACACATACAGTACATTCATAATGGCATAAACCAAAATTTCTTGTTTGCATATGTCTAAAATACTAATTGAATGTAGTAAATTCATGATATGTGTATTTTTATATGCACAATATTCTCTTCTTCCTGTGCATTTTGGTACTGATAAAATATGTTACAGCTGGTAAAAAGCACTGTGCATTGTAAGAATTTTAAGACTGACACCTTTGAGGAACGTAGACTAAAATATTGTTTTGTATATTTTATTTTGCCCTTGTTTCTGAAGTAAGATAGATTTTTGATTTATCTGGTCTGTCTCAAACTTTAAGTTCAACTTCTGTCTCTCTCTCAAACACTGTCTATTGCAGTGAAGCCTTTTATAAAATAGAGAGATTGAAATCAGTCCTTTGTATGCATAAGTGTAGGTAATTATACTTTAAAGAGAACTTGCTTTGTACATTTTAATTTTTATAAAGAAACGAGCAGTTATCTCCCTGACACCTTATTAAATGTATAATTAACCTTATGATCCCTAGCTCACTTGTGAATGCTTGGCAGTATAATTGGAGAGGAATAGTGTTTCTCTTTTTCATTCTTTTGCAGTCCTAAACCTCGTTTTTGTGGTATGTTGAAGTATTAGTTTAATTCTTTCCCCTTTTGTTTTAAACAAACTTCATACCTACCATTTTAAAAACAATGTTTACCAAAACGCTGCATGAAATGAACTTGTTTCCTGTGTTCAGTGGTGGCTTTTGTTTTTTCCAAACTAATGGTCAATTATTTACCTTGTAAATAGGTAATATAGTAGTATATTATTTTAAACATCTGTAATTGGAGATTTTCGCCTTAGTCATTTTGTTTATCACTAACCTGCTCATGACTGCTACATTAATTATTTCTTTTTCTTTAGAGGTGTGGTGCATTAGTTGAGGAGAAGAGAGCTTTAGTGAGTTTTATGGCTAGATCAGCATCTAAACCTGGACAGGTATAATATTTTTTCATGTGTATCATTGTATATGTAGCAAAATACTGTATCGTCAACCTTTGTTGAAGTGTTTTGGATCTTGAACTTCACAGTTGACAGCTTTATCGTGTTTCTCGGGGAGGGGGGAGGTTAATTTGCAGAGCTGGTTACATTTAAAGTTTACTTTATGGAGCATGATGGAAAGGAGGGTGTAGTTAATATTATTCTATTCTTTCAGTAATTTCCTGCATTTTTGATGGTATACTTTATATCCTACAAACATTGTGCTTTAAATGTTTTGCTGCACTATCCAGTTCAGTATGGCAACCTGAAAGTACTTATTTTGTTGGCTACATTGTATAAATACAAATGCAAGTTAAAACCTCAGCCTCTCTCTAATGATAAAATGCCTCTATGTTTACATTAAAAGACACATTTCATTCTACTTGTTATGGTGGTTTGGGCATGTATCTAGTTTGAGCATCTGTTTAGATTCCTGGCTTTGTGCTCATTCCCTATAATTCAAAATGCTCTCATTCATGTGCCTGCTCTACTCCTGTCCATCCCTCCTTATACGCCCCCCTCGAAGTTAAAAAAACAAAAAAAAACAATAAAAAACAAACAAACAAAAAAACAAAACAAAACAAAAAAACCAAAAAAACCGAAACAAACAACAAAAAAACCCCAAACCACAACAAAAAAAAAACCCAAAACCCACTAAAACAACCAAACAAAAAAACAACCCCTAAAAACCAAAACAACCAAACAAAAAAACCCCACCACACACACAAAAAAAAAACCACCAACAAAAGACAAAACTCCAAAAAACCCAACACTGAACAACAATAAAAACCCAAAACATACACACACACGCAAAACCACATTGATTTCTCTTTCATAGAGGAGCAGCATCAGAAGACAGTTAATACACAAACTGGAATAAATATTTTTCAAATGAGGGAAAATGCACATTTATGTTTTATGGAAATTGCCATTAAATACTCGTAGATTAAAAGTTTTCTTTTGAAGTGATGATGATAAATATGAGGATGATAAAAACCATCTTTTGGTGTCTGTAGAAGAAATTTTAAAACTTTAAATTTTCTAGCTTTTCAAGCTGAAATTTTAATAACACATAGAAGTTAGTAGTATGTGATAAAGATGTTATTAATTTCTATAAACTTTTTTTAATTCAAGACCTGGGAGTTTTTGAAACTGGAATCAGAGGTTGAGGGAGGGAGGTTCCAAATTTAAGCACATTAGTTAGGGATCTGACTTCTTTTAAGCACTGATCATAGCTACCATTGACCTCTAGGTCAGTGAAGGCTGCTGAGTGGTTTGCATTTTTGTTAAATTGATTGAAATCCTGACATATTCTCATTAATACATGAATTGCTTCCTTAAAAAAAAATTGAGAAACTAATGTTTAGGCTTCTTGAGTATGGGTTTTAGTCCCGTATTTTGTTTGGTTTATGTTGTGCCTGATTTCTTTGACTGTTTCTTACCTGCATATGAAATTTTGTGAAGGAAGTTATTATGTCTACTTTCAGTTGCACAGTCCATTCCTTATTATCAGTACAGTTAATATCACTTAAAAGATCTGAAATAATTATTCTAACTTTGGCAATTTTACTTTGTTCTTTAAGATTTGAAGTTAATGCTCTTTTTGTCTGTGCATTAAATTTCATAGGCAAAGAAGATCGAGACGCTTCTAGAACTGATTCCTGAGCATCTTGATATGGAAATTGCGTACCGTTACCTCATGAGATGTTATGGTAATTTACTCTCCTTGGGATAGTTTTTTAGTGAGAACTCTTGAGACATTCGGAAAGGTCATGGAAACCCTTAGAAAGGGGAGTAGGATCTACACTGTGTAACTTCCTTTACAGTTTGAGCCACAAAGAGGTGGGGGGTTTGTCTGGGGTTTTTGTTGTTTAAGTCTGTTGGGTCTGTATACTGTCCTAGCTGTTAGGTGGAAAAGCAACTGACTGACCCAAGCCTTGAATCCTTTACAAAAGGAGCTGTATTGCAATAAAGGATACTGCTACAATAGAGGCTAAGTAGGGGCTTCGTGGCATAAAAAAGAATCCATCCTAACCCATGGAGAGAAATACTGTAGAAATGAATGACTTTTCAAATGAATCTAGCTTTTTTCCCCTGAACCATGTAATAAGTATATTGGTTCCTTTTGCATGTGTGTTTCAAAATCATAAGTGATTAGTTCTATCAGTAATGTGCAAGGACCTTATTTTTATTAGTGTAAATTCTTTATACCTGTTTTAATTTAGCCAAAGTTGATGTTCCAGATGCCTTCATTTGGATTTACTGAAATAGTTGATTTGAAGTGCTAATCAGTTCTCTCTATAGTTGAAGTCAGAGAGGAGCAGTTCTAAAAAATCAAGTTGCTTATTTAAATATGTTTATTTGCAACACTCAGCCTTGAAAAATCAGGACCTGTAGCCCCTATGGCAACACTCAGTTGGAAGCTTGCGTCTCTGTGCTGTAGTGTCCTTTGCCTTGTGTACTCTGGTATGGTCCTCCAGTCTTATTACAGGGAGTAAATACTCTTTGCATGTGTATTACAAGCAAAACCATATAATGATAGAAGCCCTTGTTCTCCAATCTATCACAGAGGAGATAAATAGGAATAATTAAGTAAAACACTTCAAACTCAAATCCAAGGTATGGTGTTAAAGGAATACAAACGTCACTGTATTTGAATCAACTTGTAGAAGTTCTCATGATGTAGTATCTAACTTGCAAAACTCACTTGCTTAGTAATGTTCAAAACAGCAATCACTACCAAAATCGTTTAGTCCCATAGGTTCATTCACAGCAGGTTAAGTTTTCTAACGTGTTTTTATAAAGCAAAAAAGTGCTTTGTTGTCACCAGCACTGTACTTGCTGCTTTACCCTATCATTAGCCCTTTACTGCTTTTATTTCAGTAAAAATTCCGTAAGTGAACTGATTAATTTTTCAGTATCTTTTCCAACTTCATTATAGTACAACAATTTCATAAAGAGGTTGCAAAGAAACAATCACTTGCTCTATTATACCTGAAACAGTGGTTAGAGTGTATTCAACATGTGTGAAGCCACACTGTGTGTGAAGAGGTTGTTGCTGTAGTTTCTTCAGGCAGAGACGTAGCTGGCTCATAGCAAGTTCTAGAGGAGACATTCCATACCAGCATGAAGAGTTTTAAAAGCTGTTCCTAGATTTTTCTGTACAAGCATCTCACTTGTATGAGACATTGATTCCACTCCTGTATCAGGTAGAAGAGTGCACATCAGTCACTTGACCCACTTTACCAGGGCTGGCCCAGATGAGTCATACTAGGATATCTTTGCATTTTCTATTGCATCTTGCTGTTTTAAGGAAGTAAGGTGTTGTCCTACTCTTAGGATATTCAGGAGCATTTACTATATTCTGTCCCCACCGTGCATAATATGTACAGACCTGTACACGTGAACAGCAATTTAGCTACCTCTTCCCCTCATCCCTTCTCTTCCGTTTTTGATACGTTCTGCAGTGGTGAGTATGTTAGTTTTATTTGGCTGTTAAAATGATCATCAGCGAAATATTTAGCACAGCTGAAATTTAGAAGGCTGTGCTTCGGTTGTGTTCTAGCCAAGAGGGCTAGAAATAAGATCTTTTTTTTTTTTTTTTTTTTTTTCTATTTTACAGTTAGTAAGCTTTAAAACATGATTTCTCATTTTGGGCCACGTCCAACCTTGTAGAGAACAATTGATTCTCCTGTCAGGCCCATTGTTATTTTTAATTAGTTAGAAAGGGGAATGAAAGATAACAGAGTACTATTACTACAATTGGTTACTATTTCTAGTTATCAAAATAAATGGACAAATAAAATTATAATTGCTCATGTGTTTAGCAAAGATATAGTAGAATATGGGTCACAGCTGAAAGAAGTCTGATCCTATATCAGACATCCATGACTGAACAAATAAAGGGACATTTACTCCTTTCCTTGTCCTGAGATGTGATCCACTGCCAGGACTAGATTTCCTTCATCTGGTGAGATGCAAAATTCTTTGCTGTACAGCTTCTAGAAAAAGGAAATATGTAAAATCCCATTTGCGTGGTCCATTAAACACAATCTAAGTATTAGCTCTTTTTTTTTGTTTTCCATACAGTAAATACATCTATGTTAAAGAAATAGAAAGTTAATGATTTCTATTAGGCTTTCATTAAACCATCACTTCATGCAGTTTCTGCAGTAGCCTCCCACATTCAAAAAGGAGCTCAGCCACTTGCCAGATGTGAGTGGGAAGATTTTTCTCATGAGAAAGGAACACAAGCTATCTGTTTCTGCATAATTAAAGGTTTTTTTTCCTTTAAGAACCATTGTTTTTGTAGCCCTGTGGTTGTGAAGATGGTGTTTCCAAATGTGAACAAGTAAGAACCCAAGACAGCTCCCATACTGCAGGTGTTTGCATTTTCCCAAGCAACAAAATGAATGTAGCTGGACACGATGACTTCCTTGTTGCTCACAAGGTGCGAGGAACTGTTGTACTGCTTCTAGGACCCTGAGGACAACAGTGAAACTGTCAGGAGTCACTTTAATTTCATCCTGATACTTCTAATGGAAATGTCTGAGCAGCAGAAAAGTCTATGGTTAAACATGAGTCAATGCAGAAGGAGGAGTTTCTCCCCTTTCCCACTTTAGAGGAAGGAGAAATATACTCCATTCTTCTACAGCTAGAAGTGAATAGTGCTTTAAATAAATGAAGAATGGATTAGTTAGAACCTGTTGCAGGGGATGGTGCCTTTTATGGAATATCCAGAAAAATGTTACTGGTTACCTAAGCAGTTAAGGTTTGTAATAGTGTTGGTGGGTCAGCAAAAATTTTCTCCTGCTCAATAGGATGAAATGGGTTTTTCTTTGTGTCCTAAAATGAGCATCTGACCTTTGTTTTCTTTGTTCCTTTAGGTTATAGTTTTGATGTAGCCAGCACCTGTAACCATAACAATATTTTGCCATTACTTAAGGAAATTAAATTATATTCTAGATTTCTCACATGCTGAACTTGGGTGGCTTTTGTTCTAGATTTTGTTTTTATTTTTTATCATTTGCTTCAGAAAGAGGCATACGGCTCTGTATCTCACATCCTAGAGTGGTGTGTTCTCACTGTGCGGCTCCTACTCCTTTGTGGTTCCAGCACATTCTTGAAGGAATTGATCATCCAGCCTCAAATAAAAAGGAAAGCTAGAATGGCTGTATGTTCTGTTCTTTTATGTGAATTGTCAGTAGGATATTAAGAATATCCAGAATACTTGGAATATTGTACATTAAAATATTTAGAATATGTTTTGGCAAGTAGTAGGAATGTGTGACATTGTGGAAACAGGCGAAAAGAGGAACATTTAACCACCGGGGGCTTTTTTGGTTTTTATTTTTTTCCTCAGAACTGGATGGGGATGTTGCTTCTGTAAAGGCTGTGTATGAGAAAATAAAAGCGAAGAATATACAGCTGCCCGAGCTATCTCTGAAATCTTTAGCAGTTTTTCTGAAGAAAGTAGGAGAGCCTGTCCCTTTCACTGAACCCCCTGTGAGTATTTCCTAATTAAGAAATAGATGTGCAGAATTGTATATGTTCAGTATTAATAAAACAAATTGCATGAATAATTACAAAGGGATTAGATCTCTGCAGAGACTCCTCAAAGGAGGTACAGTATGAAGTACTGAGTGTTGCAGGAGCTATAGTAATCTTGCATGGGATTTGACTTGAGGAAATAAAACCTCTTGGGGCTTACGATATTTAAACTACCTGATCCTTATCAGGCACTCATCTACAGGTGTACCTTTATCAAATGTCCTTGGGGCATTTGTCTAGGCAATTGAACTTTAAAAGGCTTATAGAATGTGTATTTCATTAACAATTAATGGGGTTTAGTTTCCATTAATTACCTGCTTTGTGTCTAGTACAAGTTGCTGCTTTACTAGGATGGGATTTTAGAACGGTAGGAATTATTTTTCTATTGCAGCTTTTCTTCTAGCTGCCTTGCCAACAGATATATGCAACTGTGCAAATATATCTTATTTGAGGATGACAAGTGGCATGACACTAAATCTGTCAAGACTGTAAATACTGCTTTCACATCATTCCTTTGACTAATACTCTGCTAGTAACATTTTAGCGAAGCAGACTTTAAAGACTACTTATACTTTCCCTCTCTAAGAAAACTTTTTATTGCCATTTTCTAGCCACTTTTTATATTTTAAAGTAAGTGTTTTTCTGTAGTTCTGTAAAGACCTGATTATATGCTGTTTCTCCATATTGCTTCATGATAAATGTGATTTTCTTTTCTCATTTTGCAAAGAATTGGAGAAAATTTTGGCATAAGGTTGTAGCGAGGTGGGGGTTGGTCTCTTCTCCCAAGTAACAAGCGATAGGACGAGAGGAAATGGCCTCAAGTTGCGCCAAGGGAGGTTTAGACTGGACGTTAGGAAAAACCTCTTCACTGAAAGAGTGGTCAGGCCTTGGAACAGGCTGCCCAGGGAAGTGGTAGAGTCACCATCCCTGGAGGTATTTAGAAGACGTGTAGATGAGGCGCTTAGGGACATGGTTTAGTGGGCATGGTGGTGTTGGGTTGATGGTTGGACTTGATGATCTTAGAGGTCTTTTCCAACCTTAATGATTCTATGATTCTATGATAAAATGTTTGGGTTAGCCTTTTAACAGCTGTGGACTTTTTTCTGCAGATAATTTATAATCTGAATTTTTATTTGGACTGTGTAAATTTAAAACCTAGAATGTCTGTTTCTTACACGTAGCTAGTAAAAATAAGAGGGTTTTTTCAAAGTCACTGAAATGATTCATTTTACGATTTCCCTGTTCAATTTTTCTCTAATGCAGCTTGGTCTTTAAAAGTGTCTCATAATTTTTTTGACACAATTGCAGATTGCAGTTAAAAAGTATTTTCATTTTTAAAATGAAATTGATTATATTATTGCATTTTGTAATAGAAGCTTCATTATGCGTTTTTGGCAAGGTTTTCCTTTTCCTTTTATTCTCTCTCTCTGGTATTTCTCTTAATTATACAGACTTCACTACAGATCTAGTTTTGCATGACAGAGAATAATAGATTTTGCTTTTGTCAGAACATAAGACTTTCTTCAGAATTAGTAACTTTTCAGTTGAAACAATGTTGAACTTGTTTATTCCACTCTATTTATAGGAGTCATTCAAGTTCTATGTGGAAAAATGGAGGAAAAGAAGATTGGAAGCATCATGAACAGACAGTCTTTAATGCTTTAGTTGTTTATGAAATTGTTTAAATATTACATTCAATAAAAATTTAAAAAAGCATGTTGTTCTGTGTAATTTTTAATATAAATCTGTGTTTAAACTACTTGCTATAGCTGTAATTGATAGAAACATTCATTAATAGAAATGCTGTTAAAATTGCTAATGAAATATCAAGAGATGCAGCTTTCTAAGCTGTTTTTGTTTTGATGTATGATCTGCTATAACCTGAACTGTATTTTGGCTCCTGTTGATCCACAAATATATGTATATCAAGAAAGTTGCTAGAGAGGTATGTAACTGTAACTTAAGCAAACTGTCTTATTCTTTGTTGTTCTTTGCCTGGTGGATGTACTTTGCGGTGAAAGTAGAAGGGTAAAGAACAACATCTTCAGGATTCATCTGTATCTACACAGAAAATAAACACATCTTTTTTTTAGATTTCTCCTAAATGTACTTCTCTTGTGTTAAGTATCTCGTTAGGGTGTTCGATATTATAGGTAAGACAAAATACTTCTACCTTTCACACTAGCTTGTGTGTTGTAGTTTTATAGCATCTTTAACTCATTCTCATAACTGTTAGTCCAGTTAATTTTATGGATACAAGAACTGCATATCCATGAAAACATGCCTTTTAAACAAAGCAGTGCCCATTATTTGCAGAGGTAGCAGTTGTTTACTTGCTGGAGACTGGTGGGCATGCTTTATTTGTATAAATGTGGGAGTAAACCTACTCTGATGTGAAGTCTTACAGTCCAGAGTTCTGGGATCATGAAAATAAGACACTTACAAGTCACAAAGATAAAAGAATACATAGAAAATACATCCATTATTTCCGTGAATAATGATGGAAACTCAGAAATGTGCACCTTGGTGTAACAAATGGAATATGGTGTCTACGCAGTACTTCAAACAGGTTTTAATGAAATGAACGCTTGTTTCTGTGTGTTTAGTAACTTTGTTGGTTGATCTTTACATTTTCAGTTAGTTAACCTTATCTTTCTTAGGTTTCCCCACTTAGGCAACACTGTGGTAATTAAAAATTCATGTGTGCACACAAGGTTTTGACAAAATTTTGGAAGGCTTGTACAGTAATCTGAATGTGTCAAAGCTGGAAGAAATTGTGACCTAATTTTTTAAAGTAAAGTTTCCAATTCCTTAGCTAGTATATTTATAAATACACAGAAAATTCCTGCTTTACTCAAAAAATGAGGCATAACTCATCGGGCTGACATGAGTGGTAAATTTTGTTTTCCAAACAAACTGTATGAATCCTAGCTGTGTCTGCTCCATTGGTGGTGTGGTTTTACAATGACCTTCGTTACTTCACGAGCGTAGGCTCGACAGCATACTGCACCTACATGGCTCTAACCGTCTGGCACCCTTTGTTCCTGGGTTGTCAAGATAAGGCATTTACATTTGAAATTTCATTCATAGCCTAATGGTTGTGTGCCCTGTCTGAAAGCAAGCCTAGGAGTACTCAGTTTATTTCATTTCACAAATGGAGGTGCTTCTTTTTTCTAAAGCTACAGCTACATTACATCTGTTTCAGTGTAATAGCAGCATAATTGAAGACTGTGTCAACTGGTTGGCAACCCTTTCTCTAGTGCCACAGCTCTTGTTTTCAGAGGTCATCTCGTGAATCTCTGTTTCACAGCGCTAGCCGTGATGTGAGCATAACTGGAGGCAATGGGCCTGTATGCTTTTTGAGCTAAGCTAGCACATAGGATAAGGAAGAGAATGAATGTTACTTGAAGCAAGCACCAGGTCATTGCAGAGGAAGTTACCAGCAGATTTGTAGATCTTAACTACCTTTTTGACAAGGAGGTGGAATCTCATGTGGTCGTGGACCAGGTGCAATTGACTGTCAGGTGCTGCATTCATCATTAGTCTGTGTTGTGATACTGGCAGGTTATGTTTGCTGGCTGCTGCCTTCTGAGGCAGTAAAGCAGCACGCAGCACCGCAGCCAGATGCATGACTGCCTGTTGCTAGCGCCCACGTGTGAGGTCTGACCACGCAGGATTAGTACTAGTTAGCATCTACACTTTTTTCTTCTAACTTGCTTGACTTGAACTCTTAACAGAATAAGGTCCTGTGATTTTACAGTTGCAATTGTGGAAATGGAAAGTAAATTTGATAGCCTGTAACTGAAGAATATAAATTAAATTGTTTTCAGCTCTGGAATTGCATTTTGAGTGACATGGAAAGCTATGGTCTGAAAGAGCCAGCTGCTGAGCCGATTAAACATCAGTGAGGCACTGCAGGAGCATGAGACCAAACAGTACCAGGGTTTCCTGGCAAGAGTGGTAGGGGAATGGGTGAAGGTACACCCTGACCACTTGGGATCACGTTGCAATAGCCCTGGCCCGTGGAGCCTTGAGGCAGAGATGGGAAAGCAGAGGTTACTCAAAGGATAGGGAAAGGCTGCCACTGTGTGATAGTATTTCTGATCTTCTGTTCCAGTAAACGTTTCATGTACAATTAAGGAATGATTACACAGAGGAGTGCAGTCTCTCCTGTCTTTAAAATGTGGGACAGTGAGGGATTTGTGCCACTCCGGGACACAATCATCTCGGAGTGAAACAAGGTTATACTGGGAAGGTTTTGCAGAATCAGCATTTGTGCTGACTCTTCTAGAATACGCTTGAAATGGTAATGTTTCATGTGCATTGGTGTGCTGAGATTCAGCCATTTCAAGCATGAAGAAAAATGCGGTTTAGATGGTTAGCGTTTCTCCACCAAATAAGTAGGCAGTTTCATTATTTATTTCTTCATATTCAAAGAAAGAAACCTGTAAGATGACAAAATGCAGAATGGCAATCTTGCAAACTTGTCATGGTGATTCATTAGTCCAGATACCAAACATACTCTGTCATACTGACCATAGCACTTATCCATTAAAAGCAGAAAAGAATTATTAGCCACCGGCTAGTGGATAACTGGGATTGTGCAAGATCCAGACCAGGTGCGGTGTCTGTGAGATGGGAGTGCGCTTTTGCAGAGGCCTCTGTGGAAAGCTGAGAGTGTGCTGACATGAAATGACCTGACATGTTACTGTAAAAAGCAAATTGTGTGAGTGTGTACATGTTTGCATAATTGTGTGTCTTGATTGGGGTTGAGAAGACTGGAAAAAGCTTGCTGCTTAAATTGAGATAACTTAATCTCACTTCTGTTCCCTGCGCCACGTTATGGACTCGCCTTTTTCCCCCACTTTCCTTGAGGTAGGGGCAGGAGGAGGGTGCTTTCAGGTTTTTGAGCTCAATATGGGAAAAGTTTCCTTGTTAACTACAATATAGTCATTTTGCAGCATGATAATTACATGCTGTCGTTCTGTCCTTATCTACTGAAACAGTTCGTTCAACTCATTGTCTCCTGAGACCCTTTTCTGTAGCAAGAAATGTAGCTTGGTAGGTTAGTAGCTGTCTTCAGGCGTCCTTAGTACGTACCCACTGTTGAAAATGGAGTAGCTGAACAGATCGTGTCTTTGGCAGTGGCAGCTCAGAGGGTTTTTATAGATCGAATGCCTGAGTCAGCAGGATCCCAGCTGCAGTTTACAGTAGCAAGGGAGGATCGTAACAGTGAAGGTAGGATCACGAGTGCACATATTGACAGAGAAATAGACTGGAAGCGTGTTCACCAGAGTACTACCGTGTTTATTGCTTTTCTCAAAGGTGTGATGCTTCCGGACTCTCCAGGAACACCGTGGCAGAAGTGATGGATGTGACCAGGAGGCTTTGCTATTCAATGTGGGAAATCTGACAGCATATAGAAGGAATGTCCCATTTCCTGCACCAGTATATTGTTGCTGTAAGGATGAAAAAAGTGAGTGTGTAAGAAATAGCTGAGACTGTCACTGCATTTAGCCTTTTTTAGCAAAGATTTCTCTGCATCTCTTAAAATTATTCTCATAATTTCTGTGTAAAGTCAACTGCAAAAAGGTACTTCCTTTCCAGAGTGGCTGCAGCCTCTGGTGGTTTGCCAGTACTTCTGTGAATGAGTAATCAGAGGAAACCCAGTATCCTTTTAAGTTAGTGGCTCCAACTGAGACTGTAATGTAATCCAAGGGCATCTTTCCGAGTATGAGTGTGCAGATCCTCAGCTACAGGAGCAAAGTTCTGGGTTTCCCATTAGGTATGGAAATAAGAGCAGATACGGAAGCTTGAGGTTTGAGTTTTCTCTACTGTTTCCTGTAATTAAGAAAATGAGATAATAGAAACTGTCTTATTCAGTGCCTGCTATAGATGGGGGTTCCACATTGATCTACTTTTAGATAAAACTATTAATGCAAGGTTTCTCTCTGATACTCTTAGCCAATTGTAATATAGAGGTTTAATGCTTCACAATTTCTCATGTGATTACCCTTATAACACTGTGATAAAGCAGTGGTATCTATAGAATTGCTATTGTCTGCAGCGGTAGCTCCAAACCTCTTTGGAGTTCTGTGTTTCTCGTAGTTATTTCACTCGGCTTTAACTGCCAATGAATTCCAGGTTCAGAAAGCAACAAACCTCAGTGTCTCACGGGAAAAGTGATGAGTCTTGAAAACTAGCAGCAGAGTTAATTCTTGGTTTTGCAAGTAGTTTGCATCTGCTGTTCTTCACATGGTCCATGAGACCAGGGCAAATCTGAAAAGGGGAGTTATGGGAAGAGTTGTAGATAGCGGAGATGAATCTTCAGGGGAGGAGAGGAAGGTGGACTTTTAGATAGAAAACAGTTTGGGCTGGAGGGAAAGCAGGGGGGTGTGGACAGGACGAGGTTGGCCTGGCCAACCTCCTTCGAGGTTGTTCGTAAAAGGCTCTGAAAGGCCGTTCTGCTGGGTGCTGGATTTTTATTTATTGGAGAGGGGCTATGAAGAGTGGTTGTCAAAATACAGGATTGCTGCAGAGGAACTCTGAAGGGATTGGAAGTACTGGGACAATACCTAGGTGGGAAGGATGAGAGTTGGTATTGTGTGTGGCCATAAGAAGACAAAGCTAGCAGCTTCAGTGTGATGCCTTAGGCCTGGTTGCATTGGGAGTGAATGACCGTGAGGGGAAGGAGCAGCCCTCAACTCGCTGGCAGTCGGGGTTGATGACACACGGCTGTGGATCTTTGCCTTTCTCATGGCTCCCACCGTCTGCTCCTCAACCACTTCTCCTTGAGGTTCACTGGAGAAGAAAGCAGCGGCAGCAGCAAGGGCTGCTAAGGGGGAGTTGGTTGCTAAGCCCAACTTGATGAAGAGAGAGACTCTGAAGGAGCCGAACCAGGCCTGGTCCTCTCATGCCTTCCCACCATGGGGAGTCATGATGGTACTAGTCCTGTAATTACGGCTGGGTAACTGAAGAAACAGGAGCATCATCATGTACCAAAAATCCCAAGGGAAGTTTGTCCAGCAGCAGCCACTTAAAAACCTCACACTTCTCAAATTCGAAAGCAGCTGTAGGAACAAGTGTGTTATTAGTGTAATTTAGGGTGGTTCTAAAGATGAGCCTGAACACAGGACAGTGTTTAGCATTGGGGGCTGTTAACGACTTCTTTGCTTGTTCTGATAGGGAAGTTGCAGCCTGAGGTGAGGCTCCAACCAAAGCAACTGAGTTAGGTTGCTGAGCCCACTACCTAGCCATACCCTGAAAAACTTTCTGCCTAAACCAAAAATAAATAAAGCGATTGCCCTTGTTACTTGCGGAGTTCTCTGGGATTTCCCTCTGATTAGTTTAGCCGGTAGCTTTAACGGTTCATGTGTGAAGGTTAGCTCAACTGTAAATCTTGATCATCTCTAGCAATTGTCTGTTTTTAAGGAATCGGAACCCTTTGTAAATAAAATTACACTCTAAAAATTAGAACTATGATAGAAAGTGTATGCTCGTTGGAAAATCCATTAGGAACCATATATCTGTAGACTTTGCTTAAGGTTTTTGCTTTGCTTCATGATTTTGTTGACTCAGCCTGCATTTCAAACATTAATGTTCAAAGTGAGAGAGCTAGTCATATCACATGTCGCACCTGGTTAACTGTTCAGCATTTCAGGGAGGAGGAAAAAAACCCTGATCAAGTGCGATAGCTGAAAATAAATATATATAGAATGTTAAACTAATTAAAAAAAGAAAACCCTTTAGTTTTCCATCTTGTTTTATAGTTTTAATGACAGCCATATTTTTTCATCATCTGTAGTACATATAAAATATTGTGCTTCAATTGTTTTTATGCCCAGGAATACAATTTCTGCATTTAAGTGTCTCTCTCACTGACATCAATAACATTATAAATTTGTCTAAATTCAGCAAGTAAAAACAAGGTTGAAAAGTATGTTTTATACCACTAGCTGCAGGGGGCATAAAATTACGGTAATTTGTGGCTTTACTATTGTCAGTCATGTACAAGAGTTTTTTCCAGTAGAAATTTATCACGCGCCTGGCACTGAACATACTACAACGCTGCAAGGCATTTTACTAATACAAAAGCACTGAGAAATCCCCTATGAAGTATATACAGGTAAATACTTGTTCACCTTTCTTTTGTCTTGCTTTTAGAAGGGACAAACCTGAAGCAAGCGTCTCCAAAGCGTTTGACAGTGTTGAGCGCTGCTGTAATCAGACAGCGCGCTTTTCTAGGTAACAATAATACTTGGACAAAATGCGTTTTTACATGATTACTCGTAGGAATTGTGGGTTCAGGGGGAAGGCAGGAAAGCAGGTACAGCATGTGATGTGAACGGCCGGAGCCACCGGCCGTGCGCAGAATTACTGCAGGAGTGGTGGGGGGGTGTCAGCTGCTTGTTCTCGCTGGCCTGAAATGCCCCTGCAGCTCTCTGGGGGGTGGCAACTCGTGCCTGTATTGCTAGGAATTACAAGCCAAAAAGTTTATGAAATGATCATATTAAGGGGATGCTAAAAGAGCAAAAAAAGTTGTTTGCACTCTGCCTTTCTCAGCAGAGGTCAGAGCCTCTTGGGATGATGGCTACCACAGGTTTGACCTCCGACTTACCCACCTGGAAATGTAACGACTGCCTTGTGCAAGGTGGCATCCTGCAGCTGGAGGCAGCGAATTAGGGCAGGGCATGTCCTGGTTTTCAAAGTTTTCAGTTTGTGCAGCACATTTTGTTGTTGCCTGGTTTGGAGCTCCATGTTTTGGCTTTGTGCCTTTCTACAATTAATTGAAACACTGCCACGAGACGATTAGCTATTTTTAACTAAGAGTAGTAGAAGATTTGGGTGTTTGTTGACAAGCAATCATTGAGATAATACTCCGTTCCTTTAGGGCACTCTTCTCAGCACTGTCGTGCATCACGAGAAGGAAGATGTTTACTTGTGTCAGGGAGGAGCAGCGGTTGGAGGCTGGACTGGCATAGCAGAGAGGCTACTTTTTTATTTTTCTTCTGACTTGCTTAGTGAAACATGAAGTCTTTTTTGTTTTAAAGAAGTTTCTGTTGTTGTTTTCTAAACTCTCCCCTCAGCCCCCAGTAAATGAAAGTGAGCAAAGGTACTGTCTTGAAGAATGATGATGTTAACTGTTAACTGATGCGGTTGTATATCATTGCAAGGTTCCGTACGTTTTGTTTTCGACTATTTGTGAATGTTCATAGATTTCCAAGTGCTATGCATTTGCTTGAAAATTCAGTACTGAAGTAGTAGATGACTATCTTGTGGGCTAATTTGCTTGTGTACAAAATACAAATTATTTTTGAGGCAAGTGGGTATTATTTGTTTACTCACCGTATGGATTCTCGCCAGTACTTTAACATTTATGCCTCTAAACCCACTTGTTAAATATGAAAAATTAAGGTGAGGCAGATATGCTAGGAATCTTAACAAAATATGATTATGCTTAAAATTTGTCCTTAAAAAAGAGCAAAAGATCCAAATGTGTTGTTGATGGGAGATGCTGGTTCTGGAGCCATGATGTGAAGGTTGAGGAGGTCTGTTAAGCTGCAGTTTCTTAGCACTGAAAGCATTAAAAGTATCAAATTGTGACCATGAAAGCAAAATAATGCCAACAAAATTTGCAATTCAAAATAACCATAAGTTTGATTTAATGACAAAATAAACATCAACAAACAGTTTTATAATTAATTATAGAAGTTGGCAACAGCACTTTTATAAATTATGGATCTGAATTGCTTTTTAAATATTCCCTGAAAAAAATTGTGAGCTATCGTAGGCCTTACAGTTGTGTGTGTATATACATATGTATGTAATCTATTCATGCAGATACCTCTACATATACATATTAATATGAACACACACACATTTTATATATATATGCTTTTTAAAGCTTGTCAGTTCTCAAAAGGGTTAAGCAGTTTTAAAATTACCTCAACCCACTGCTTAAACGTTGTTGCCTTAATTAATAGCTGCTAACATATGAAGGGCTTGTCTTGGCTCTCAGAATATAAAAAAAAGAAGCAGCATGTCACAGAGCTCCATGTACACTGTTTCTTGTCTACTGCCATTAAAATTAATCATTGTGGCTAAAGCCTAAAAGGTTTGTCATTTCTGGTACAAGTGGACATACCAGCACCTGTGACTTCTTACCCATAGTCTCCTTGCATAGCATATTGTCTGTGTGGTTGGTTTGTTTTTGTTTTTTTTTTTTTTAAAGGAATTTCATGGGGGTTTTTAACAAAAAGGGATGGCTATTGATAGTTATTACTGATTTAGCACTTCTGAATGCATTTTGCAATGAACAAATATAGGATGAAACTTTCAACAGCTACTTATTAATTTAGCTTAGCCAGAG